ACATTATAACGCCCCCACGGCTGAAAGGGCGAGCATGTTTAGGTGGGATGCGGATTCGAACACGCGACCCTCAGATTGTGAGTCGAGCGCCTTATCCACCTGGCCATGGCTGATAATGTAAAATCTTTTATATTATGACGGTGATGATCATACAATTGTTTATCAGTGTTAAAAAGTAGAATCCCAAGTACAATGTCCCGACGATGACAACAAAATACAGTACAGCTATAATGTTGATGACATCATTGGAATTGTTTTTGAGGCAAAACTTGTTTTACAGCATAGGTGGGCGAAGGGTAGTTAAGAGATCCTTCGAACGATTTTAATTTTAAAATGTGAATGAAGGTAAAAAGAAAGAAAAAAAAAGAAGATAAGGTTCTTAGAATATAGAAAGTTTATTCTAGAAAGAGATTCTTATTGGTCAAAAGTAATTATTATTTTGGAGAAAGGTTCTTTTTCTTTGAAAACATGAAGTAAAGAAATGAACTTTTATTCTTAAAAAAGTTTATTTTTACAGATAAACACTTATTATTTAAGTAAATGTGCATATTTGAAAATGTGCTCTTATTCTTAAGGGGCCTGGCATGGCCTTGTGGTTAGGACACTCGGCTCGCAATCTACGGGTCGCGGGCTCGAAGCCCATCACCGAATATCCTCACTCTGTGAACCATAAGGACGTTGGAATGTGATGTAAATTCTATTATTTATTAGTAAAGAGTATCCCAAGAGTTGGCTGAACGCCTTATCTCTAGTCCATCACTTCTTACGGTTAGTGCAGATAGCCCTTGAGTAGCTTTGCTTAAAAATCAATAAAACAAACAATAAAGCTTATTCTTAAGGACGCAATAACTACATTTGAAAGGCGGTCTGTATTCTTAAGAACCTTAGTTTAGGAGAAAACCTCTTATTCTTAGAGCAACGAATATTTTTCAAAAGAGCCGATTATTTCTTGAGAAAGGTTTAATTTTAAAGACGTTTCTAGCTCAATTGAAAGGTCTGCATTCTTAGATAATTTCTTATTACTGACTGAAGGCCTTTATACTTATAAATAAGTTCATATTCATGAAAATAAGTAAGGTTCACGAGGAAAGATTAACAGAGAATTATTCACATTTCTAGTGAAGGGTTCTTCTTTAAAATAAATATTAAGAAAAATTATTATTGTACGAAATAATTATTTTGCTTAGAGCCGACTTTCAAATCTAAAAGTTTAGAATGTGTATAGGAGTTGTATGGGGTTCTATCTACAAAATGGCCAGCTTGTAAGACTAACTGAACACTTTAAGTTAACACTAACATCACCATATAATAGCTGCTTTAGTCACAATAAACTTCACAGTAATTAATCACTATCAAATTATCTTTTCATTTGCTCATAATATATTATTATTTTAATATCAAATAACTCTTCAAAATTGAAATAAATTCACATCATCTGTTACAATCTCAACACAACGCTAAAAATGAAAAGAAAAACAAAATAACAATTTAATCAAAGCGACTCTTTTGGACAGAAGCGCCTGCCCACCCACTTCTTAATGTAATCCTACCAGCCAACTCCAAACTTTGTTTTTCCTAATGTCGCATTTTATTGAGCTCCGGTTATATTTCAGTAAGAAATATGTCTTGAACTGTTAATAGTAAAGCTTCCTGTAAAATAAATTGTAAGTACTAATAGGGTGTTGTATAGATGCATTTGTTTGTTTTGTTGAATTTCGCACGAACCTATTCGAGAGCTCTCTGCGCTAGCCGTCCCTAATTTAGAAGTGATAGATTAGAGAGAAGGTAGCCAGTCATCACCACCCATCGTCAACTCTTGGGCTACTATAATAGAATAGTGGGATTGACCGTCATATTATAACGCTCCCTTGGCTGAAAGGGCGAGAATGTACGATGATGGGATTCGAACTCGGTAACCGTAGATTGCGAATAGAGAACACTAACCACCAGGTCATATGTTACACAGATCAGGCATTGCATGGAACGACTTGATTTCGATTATCCCATGTGAGTTTTAGCTATTGACACTATAAATTTAACATCCCGCGACTGGGAACAATTTAACCTTTGATCCTAAAGATTTATAAGAATTGTATTAAAAGTGTTTTAATATTCGTATTTTAAGTAAACTGCTTTAACATGACACAACCTGAGACATATTAAAAATGTATTAGATATATTGATAACATTAAAATTAAACACGTGTTTAGAATATTAGTTTCAAACCTTGGATTAAAAACTTGGCATCAAACTTAGCTCTGTCTTAAGAGTATGTTTGTGGAATTGTAAAAGACACTTAACAGTTTTAAACATAATCTTGCTCTTCTAAATAACATGTCTGGAAAACATATCACGTGATTAACATGTTTCGTGCATGCGTAGGTATTATGTGGTGATTGTTTACGTGTCGATCTTCATACTTACATATTTGCAAAGTGTTATTCAATAGCCTAATTATCTATTGCTTGTTTCTTCGTGAACGCATTTTAATTGGAATATTTCTAGCGAAGACCCTAAACTGTAATATACAAGGTGTCTGGAACCATAGGCACTTCAACGAATTTTACAAAATGTGTTCCAAATGCTGCTCTTGTAATTCGAAACAAGTTTGGATTAACAGTATGATTAACTCGACCTTCTCATGCTTTGACAACACAATAACCTGTCACGTATCTGTAATTCGAAACAAGTTTGGATTAACAGTAGGATTAACTCGACCTTCTCATGCTTTGACAGCACGATAACCATCATGTATCTGTAATTTGAAACAAGTTTGGATTAACAGTAGGATTAACTCGACCTTCTCATGCTTTGACAACACAATAACCAGTCACGTATCTGTAATTCGAAACAAGTTTGGATTAACAGTAGGATTAACTCGACCTTCTCATGCTTTGACAACACAATAACCAGTCACGTATCTGTAATTCGAAACAAGTTTGGATTAACAGTAGGATTAACTCGACCTTCTCATGCTTTGACAGCACGATAACCAGTCACATATCTGAAATAATTAAGAAAAGCTGCAAATCACTCATGATTCTAGACAAAGACAATGTTGTGTTTCATCCTAAGAAAGAGAACCCACATTCTTGAAACAAACTATATTCTATAAAGAGACTTGTCCAGAGATACTAGTTTCGTCACATTCATGGGTCCTCTTCAGTCTTCAGAAAACAACGACGGGCTGAAGAAGACACACGAATGTGTGGTAGTTTTTCTGTACAAGCGTTTTGATAGAACGTATTTTCTTTTTATAAAATGTTAATTTTCATTTTCTTTTGCACGTTATTAGACTTAAACCTTTGATGATGTTCAGAGTTTTGGCAATTAGTATTTTCAAATAACAACTTCTTATGCGACACATAACCTAAACGGTTAGATGACAGACCCTAAGGATTACACATAGTCGACTTTAATTTAGAACTGCTGGTTAGAGAGACGGCAACCAGTAAGTTAGACCCCCCCCCCGCCTATGTGAATACTCTTATTCCTGGGATTGATTTAAATATATAATGAGCTCGCATCTGAAAGTTCGAAGAGTACGCAGCGGCGTATCACAAGCTCGAACCTTGATTTTCAGATCCACAGTTCAGCACTAGACCACACCCTCTCGATCCTCAGATTAATCAGCTCTTATCATGTGTTTTTTGTGTCATCATTTGTACCTTATCATTCAAATTACATAATGGTTTCTTCATTTGAAAATTGGGCCCAGCATGGTCAGGTGGTTAGGGCGCTCGACTCGCAATCTGAGAGTCGCGGGTTCAAATCCCCATCATACCAAACATGCTCGCCCTTTAAGCCGTGGGGGCGTTATAATGTGACGGTCAATCCCACTATTCGTTGGTAAAAGAGTAGCCCAGGAGTTGGCGGAGGGTGATGATGACTAGCTGCCTTCCCTCTAGTCTTACACTGCAGATAGCCCTTCTGTAGCTTTGCGCGAAATTCAAAAACAAAAACAAACAAATCATTTAAAAGTCCTTAAAATTGCATTATAATTTTTTGCAATAAAACCTCTGTGCTTTTTTATCAAATGTAGCATTGTTTCTCTTGAATTAGAAAGCCATGTCTGAAGCTATTTCTATATTTATTACTAATACTTCTATATTCTCTTATTTAGGTCCTTAGGGTTTCAGGGGTTGAATATTATCAACAACCCTCAAGCTTACTTAATTGGGACCCACCCTCTATGTAGTCAGCTGACTGGATTGTCCAGAGGTCAGTTCAAGCTCTGCCTTCTGTATTATGACCACATTCAGTATATTGCGAAGGGTGCCAAGATGGGCATCAAAGAGTGTCAGTGGCAATTCCGTCATCGGCGGTGGAATTGCTCTACTCTAGCTGACAACAGTACCTTTGGCAATGACATTCTTCGAGTTGGTAAGTTGCAACAATTTCAGTGGTATTTTATCGAACTTCTTTAAGTTGGAAAACCGTACTAAGTTTTTAAAGTGTTTCAGCAATATCCAGTAAAATTTGTAAATTAGCCTCATTCCAGTGATATATTTGGCAATGTATTTCAAACTGAAGTTTTAATGTTAAAACACCTTTACCTGTGTTTTGAAAACATGCCGAACTAAATCAGCCCCAATGTTTCTCGAGTTCTTCAGTTAGACTATTATTGTATTTAGTAATGTTCAAACTGAGATATTAATATTGAAACATCTTTACCTGTGTTTTGAAAACATGCCGAACTAAATCAGCTCCAATGTTTCTCGATTTCTTCAGTTAGACTATTATTGTATTTAGTAATGTTCAAACTGAGATATTAATATTGAAACATCGTTACCTGTGTTTTGAAAACATGCCGAACTACATCAGCTCCAATGTTTCATGAGTTATTTTGTTAGACTGTATTTGTAAGTGTATTTGGCAATGTCCCAAAATTCAATAGTTTTTTTAGTAGTACAATCTACAATGGTATAGTTTAATAAAAATTTCAACACTTTACATTACATTAATTACTAAATTAGACTCGCTTTACACAAGAGCATTCTTTTAATCTTTCACCCTCAGCAAAAAAAGAGAGAGAAAGAGGGATATAGAAGAAATGAAATTATCTAAAGCATTACAGTATCTTTCATTCTATTACATATTCAACTTAAAAGTTGGACAACAAGAGAAACTATAAAAAAGCAGAAAACACTAATGGTTTATGTTGGAGCACTGTAGCAGCAACCTAACGTTTTACCTTTGGTATTTTGATCTAAAGCTGCCTAGATTTAAGCATACTTATGAAAGAAATACAATTTTGGACACGAGTTATTGTTTACATGCGTGTTTTGTTGAGAATCAGGGAGTCCAACTTTAATGAAGTACTTATAAATGTACAGTTTATTGATTAGCTAGATTGACATGTGTGATTCCCCACGTGATATTTTTATAACATTTGTGCACAAAAAACGCTAATAATCACCAGACAATAATACACATTTGGGAAGCATGTTCGTAAAGACTCTAGTGCAGGAGCCGAAGACAACCTGTTAAATACTCTCAATGGAATCGCAATCCATAATTGGAGAAATAAACGCTAATACAGTGCCACGACATAATAAAATGAGCAGTTTTGCGTTTACATTGATGATATCAATCTACAATAGAACGCAAGAACAAGACTGACCAGAAACAAGACCATCATTTTACATTGATGTTATCAATCTACAATACAGCACAAACACAAAACTGAGCAGAAACAAGCCCATCAGTTATCAATCTACAATACAGCACAAGCACATCATTTTACATTGATGTTATCAATGTACAATACAGCACAAACACAAAACTGAGCAGAAACAAGCCATCAGTTATCAATCTACAATACAGCACAAGCACATCATTTTACATTGATGATATCAATCTACAATACAACGCAAGAACAAGACTGACCAGAAACAAGACCATCATTTTACATTGATGTTATCAATCTACAATACAGCACAAACACAAAACTGAGCAGAAACAAGCCATCAGTTATCAATCTACAATACAGCACAAGCACATCATTTTACATTGATGATATCAATCCACAATACAACACAAACACAAGACTGAACAGAAACAGGCTATCAGGACCTTTTCTATGTTCGAAATGGTTCATGTTTAGTAGGGTTATGGTAGTATTGTGGGTATTTCCGAGAATACCACTGATTTCGGAGGTGCTCATATTAGTACGCCCGGGCACTGTATTATAGCACTCGAAATATTGAAGAAATAAATAATATAGTTGTTAACAATCCAATATGTTTTCTTAAATTTAAAAATATATATTTACAATGAGAAAAAAAGACAAAGTTTCTTTTTCTTTTTTAATCAATGCATAAAATAAAATTTCAAATTTAGTGTTTTAATGCATCATTTTTCACACCGACACAGTTGCCGTAATCTGACACCAGTTTCCACTTCGATAAATTATCACAACAATCATAACGAAAGCACGTTATGAAAGAATTATAGCTTAAGAAAAGACTCCTTTTCTATGTAAATGACCTACCTTAAGAACACTTACAGCTCTTAAGATGTGAAGGAGTAATCTCCTTGTTAAATCTTCAGACATCAATGTAGAGAACTTGTGTATACGTGAGTAGAAGCTTTAGTTTCTTAAGTAATTATATTATTCTTTAAAGCATGACATCATTGTATTGTTAACTTCACTATGTCATGGTTACCTGTTTGACTTCTTTGGTGCAACTCTATAAAATACCATAAACGTGTAAGGTGCCAACTGAAGAAGTAATAAGCCATTTACTTAAAACACGTTTTAAAGCATGGTCAGGTGGTTAGGGCGCTCGACTCGCAATCTGCGGGTCGCGGATTCGAATCCCTGTCACACCAAACATGCTCACCCTTTCAGTCGTGGGGGCGTTATAATGTTACGATCAATCCAACTATTCGTTGATAAAAGAGTGGCCCAAGAGTTGGCGGTGGGTGGTGATGACTAGCTGCCTTCCCTCTAGTCTTACACTGCTAAATTATGGACGGCTAGCGCAGATAGCCCTCGTGTAGCTTTGCGCAAAATTCATAACAAACAAACAAACATACATTTTAAAGACCCGAATTAGTAAAATCACATGTAAGAGTTGGGTTATTCAGATCAAATCGGTTTCCATGTTCGGTTTCTATATAAGTATCCTATTCTAAACTTCGTTTAAAACTACCTTAATTTTTTGTGCAAAATTATTGATTAGTATGTCGAGATTCGATTCCAAATGGTCCATATAATATTCTATGTTGTTCAACCGAATCTAGTTAAAACTTTAAATAAAACCACTTACTGTGTTATATAAATCAGGCGTTTTAGGACAAAGACTAGTCAGAACAGGACAGAAACGAGCACTGAGCCCTAGTTAATATCAGAACAACCACTTACAAAGGGATTTGGCTCAGCATAACCTTAGACAATATTTTTATAGGATACGTAAGTTACAAAATCGCCCTGTCCAATCCTAATCACTATAAAACCTAAGATGAAAGTTTTGTACTTCCATAATGATGCCTTAACAAACAAACAAAAATCAGTTTTTCTGAACACGATGGACTAAAAAACCCACAAAATCACAAAGAAAAATAAGATTTCGAGAAGTAAGCAGGTGTCTCATTCCCTATGATTTGGAAACTGTCAGCAGTGGAGTTTTAATGATAACCGAAGTTCAGAAATATAGTAAAGCTTTCCTATTTTGAAAATGTTAGAGAAGAGAAAGTTTGATATAAGGAATATCACATTAGAAACTCCTACAAACATTTACAGAATATTATATTCAGTTACATGTTCAAATTAAACTAGATACATGATTTTTCAAGTGGTTATTTGCGATATATGAGTGTAGAAATGTTATAATGATATAGGTAGTCCGCAATAGAATGGGCAAGATCAAGCATTTCTATGACCTTCAAAGGGGTACTATATAAGGACAACCGTCTATAGAAAGAGCGCCATTATCGGAGACCGTTCTTTTAATTGGCTGTTATTCCTTTGATCAAACTTAACTATCCGTTACGTTTTTATATATGAACAGTTTACTACATTTGTGGACTTCGTCTATCTTTAGAAATCCACTACTGACAGTGCCAAACCAAACCAGAGGTCTATTTCTCGAAATGTTATTTTGCCTTTGTGATCTTATTGGTTTGTTGGAGCTTAGTGCTACTGTTTAGTGACGTAGTACTAACACGATAATTGTTACGTAATGTTTTAGAATCATGATACTGATTACATATTGTTTTACCGACAACATACTGATAATATAGTAATATAGAACAATATTTATTACGTAATGTTGTGTCATTTTATTTTTTCTTATTTGTATACACACACGTATATACGTATATATACTTATATTTTTAGTGTGATAAGTAATGCTTGATCCACAGTCGGAAATGTAAAACGTTTTATTTCTAGTATTACAGCAGACTGTCATCGGGTTATTCACCGACAGTAAACGTTTAAATGATATATCTGGGGATCTATTCTCATAAAAACAAAGTTCATTGCTTAGGTGTTGTCTTGAAATATAGGTGAGAGACATAGCACATTAATTCTATCGTTTGGTAAGACTTTTCTCATTGTGTTACGTTTTCGAAGATTACTTCAGCGTCTAATGTTTGGTAAATCACTCATGTTTTTCTTTCATTACCACTGGTGATATCAGTGTTAGTTAATTAGAAGTTAGGGGTAATTTCTTTAGTTCTTCAGGAAGAAAAGTAAGATCAAATAACTTCTTGATCCAGATGCCGAGCAGAAATCATAATTACCTTTAAAGACATGAAAATGAACTTGGTACAACAAACATCTATATTTACTTTTAAAATATTGATTAACCTGCAAAAAATGTGCATTGTTTTAAACTGACTCTCTCGGAGTTCTGAGCACGATGCTTGAAAGGGATAGCTTCAAAATGATACGAATGTTAACATGCTTTTCTTATGATCTATCTGAAACGTGACAAACAAT